TCAGCTTTATTGTATACAGCTATAAATTCCAGGTTTCTATTATATTTTTATTTTTGTTTTTATTTTATTTTATTTGTTAAATATACCACATTTCCCCTGTGCAGCTGAATTCAATTTGAATTGAACGCCAAAACACAGCACAGCACAAAACTATGAGATAGGAGTTTACATCTGTCATATAACAGCATTTTTCTCCTGTGTCTCAACAATTGTGAGCCATTGTGGTAAACAGAAGAATCATGGCGTCAACCAGGAATCTGCACCTGTGTATATGATTGTCAAAAACGCAGTGTGCAGCTAGATGATATCATGTTGCGTCAAAAGTTGAGCCAGGTTCAACTCCTTGGTGGACTAGCCTTCATGCTTTTTTGGAGACCTCTGCAGTGGCACTCACACAGCATCAATGCAGTGGACTTGAAATGAATGAGGAGGCTGTGGGGGGGGGTTCCCACACACTGCTACTGTTGGTCTGGACTTCATTTACAGTATATGGGAAAACTGCACCCACATTATCTCAGAAATGCGTCTTTTGATGTTCCCTTCCCTTCATCTGTGACAGTTACACTTAATGTTAACATACCAGCAAATTACTTAATGTTAGATGACTATAAACTGTTCACACCTGCATACTGATCCAGAATTAGGATTTTCATGATGAGTGTATATTTTACATAAAGGATTCTTCTGGGGTTTGGTTAGATGGAGCCGTCACACAGCCTCTCATGCTGTCTGTATTAGTTTAATCCTAATGATCCTGCTGTACTAATGAACGATAGATACATGATGTTTTCTTGGAACCTGCTGCACTATTTAACCAAGAGCGTGATCTGATTCCAAATGTGAACATATAAATCATTTGGTGTCTGCCACAGTCTACGTCTCTTTTCAATCAGATCATTTATAATACAAAGAAATGGTCTAAGGACAGAATTTTATGAACTTATGCAGACAGGAAGAAGTATTCATATTTAAAATATGTATGTAGGTGTGTGTGCTCCCCAGGCAAAGCACTAGGGGAGTACTGAAGCCTAGATTGCCCCCGGGTAAGACTAAGAAGAGACAGGGAGACAGACACTGATATGAAATAACTGTATATAACTATTCTGATGGTTCATATTGATTTATCTGTGGTAAGGAACTCTTTGGAAATGGATTATAATGCTGTTTCAATACAAAAAACAAGTAGTAGCAGAACAGTATCACTACAGAATTTATACAAACTTGTAGTTTTGTTGTGATTTCTGGAACAGTATCCTACTTCGTACTTCATCCTACTGCATTTGCTTGAAAGAGGAAACTCTGCATTATCAGACACAAACACATGCACACATACACACATACACACAAAACAGATGGGGCCCTGGGGGGTGTCCTCCAGGCAGAAGGATCCCAGGGACCCCCAGGAGACAAAGCAGAAAGGAATGATGAGGACAACATGGAGGAAGAGGAACAGGGAATCTCAGTGTACGTGCAGGTTTAATGTTAATCATTTTACCAAGCTACCAAGATTTACATCAACCAAAAATGAAGAAACCAAGCTGGCACAGACATTACTGATAAAAACTGGAATTTCTATTCCATCTCTGCCTCAACTATAGATCATCAGCAGGTATACACATTCTGACACTATATAAATATGATTTTAAATCTGCATTAACATTAAAATTATCACCTGACTCTTCAGTTGCCCTCCCCTCTGTAAATTGATAAAAATCAAACCAAACAAGCATGGTTTGTTTGACAAAAATGGTGTATTATGATATTGATTTAGCCTAATTTTAAACTTTCCTCCTCTGCCTCTCTTCCTTTCAGTTGAGTTCTTCTTTTTCAACTCTCCGTCACTCATTCTCCTGCCCCCCCTTTCTTTTATGTCCCTTTATTTCCCTTTGCTCCCCCCCCTCCCACCATCACCACTTCTGACCCAACTAAAAAGCTGTGCACGGTGCCTCACAATGAAGTGAGTTTCTTTCACATGTTAATGCTTTTACTCACAGCTCAGTGCACAGCACAAGGCAAGAAACAGAGCTGCACAGAAAAACAAGACTGTGTACACTATATATATATATATATATATATATACACACACACACACACACACACACACACACACACACACACACACGGCAGGAATGGCTACTGTTACACTGAATCCAAATGAACTGCCACTGAGTTGTCTTCAGTTTTGATGATGAACTTCCAAACCCAACAGAGAGGAAAATGAGAAGTTTAGAGTACAGAATGAAGAAATAATCAAAAGAAAGAAAGAAAGTAAAACACAAAGCAAGATTACAAATGGAAGTGAAGAAGACATGGAGGGAAAGGAAAGGGCTTCTACACTTCATTTCTATTGCAGACAGGCTTTTCATCATTCATGTCCACTTCAGTGTATCACACACAAAAAAAACGATTACACTTTGACAGACGGGGTGTATGTGTGCGAGAATTGATTGTTAAGATTTGACAGAGGGAAAGAAAACAATCTGCAAGATGAAAATACATCTTCTGATATTCATGTTGCTTTGACTAATATGAGCAGGAACATGTCGAATAAACACAATCACACAGCTGTACTGTTAAGTGTGTGTGTGTGTGTGTGTGTGTGTGTGTGTGTGTGTGTGTGTGTGTGTGTGTGTATGTGGATTGAGTCACTGCATCAATTTAAGTCCATTAAAACATGGTTCATGACGAGGTTTCATGTTTAACGTTGTGTGCAAAGTTAATTTAACTGGGTGTTCAGACCCATCACAAGCAATTAATAATGTAGTGTCATTTCTTGTAGTTCAACAAATTGGTTATGTCTCAAAAAACATTCAGTTTGGGGTTTTATATTGAATTGTTATCCATTATATATAATTTCATAATTTAATATTTTCATATTTTATAATTGGACTCATAATATGTAACATTTTCCATATTAAAATGTCTAAAAACACCAGACCTATTCTGTTGAGACTGTACTTAAAATATCCCAAACGTATCCAACAATGCTCAAACCCAGACATTTTATTCAGTCAACGGTGCTTTTCCTTGCTTGCTCTAGTTGCTATAATGTTCGGGGAATTCATCGGATACGTCGGAGAGAGGGATGAAAGTCGGTGAACATGACTGAACGTAACCTGAATAAAACTTTAATACAGTACGTCATCTGTGAATAATTGAGCCACGTCAGATAGATTTTCATCACCAATGGCGGTTGTTTAACAATCAAAACAAATCCTCCCATTATCCCACGCTACTTCACGTCATCATCAGACTACATCTTTTATTAGTGTTTTAAGGTGAGAGAGCCCCTAGCTGCAGAAATGACATACTGTGCATTTAATTTCCTAGAATGTGGAAGTGTTGTGATGTGAAGTCATTTCACTGCACATGGAACTAACATATTTTACCTGGCATTGGCTGTCATGGTTTAATGGGAATCTTTAGAAATGTAGATAAAAGGACTGACTAAAAGCGAGCAGACTGACAAAGAAAAATCTTCACACACTTTCTGCTAAATTCAATTTAAAAATATACAGTGCTCATTACTGTGCAAATGCTCTGCAACTCATTTCCTTTTTATCATTTTGGCTCCTGAACACAGCATCACGTTTTTTGAGTGGCAGAGTGGCATTAACTGTGTGTCTTTGTAAGCGGCTGAGAGGCAGGGCCTCAAAGAACACATCCAAACACTGGATCCAGCACACCGGAGACCAGCACTGCCAACTCTCTTCTCATTACCGGCTGCTCAAAACGTCCCTACAGGCCATCAATACTTATTTCTGAGAAACAATCATGGCTGAAAAATAAAGCTGTTATATTTATAATGAGCAGGATCAAAAATGTTGTTTTCACTTTTCCTACAATTAATACAATTACCGAGACTTTTATCAGTAATTATCCATTTGATTGTGTTCAATATAGCTTTCGTGTGCCTGTTCCAACTGGTGAAAAACTTCTCAGCTAATAAGCTGCTGGTCTAATTTGCAGTCGTGCTGGAGGAAGTTCTGAAAGAATGGCTTGTACAAAGTGAAGTTTTATACTTGGTGTATCTACCATGAGAGGGCTATGTGGACTGCAGTTCTGTTATATATCATCAAAGTATTATGAGCTTCCAATTACATGTGTCAATTATCACCAGCAATCCATTTGGGGTGTAGGTTAATACATTGAATAGGTCTGTATGTAGCCCACTGATGACCTGTTGAGCGTGATCGCTCCTCCTGACCCCCCCGATCATTAAGAAGCTAATCTCTCCCTCTGGGACCATTACTGTCTGTCTGTTTCCACTCTTTGTTTCTGTCGGACCACAGATTAGCCCGGCAGGAGCTTTGTGCTGAGTTAGCTGATGTCATCCAACCATATGGTCCGAGGCAGATCAAGGCTCTCTCACGGGAGATCTTAACAGACAATTCCTTCAGTTCAAGTGATATTCAGACTGCTCAGACTGACATTTACTAATCTGATGGCACTGTCCCGAGTACTGTCTGTTTTAAGAAATGCCTGTGTGATTTGGATAGGCGAGCAGAGGGCAACTCAACCTTTGGGGCTTTCCAATTGAAACTTCCTGTCACTGACTGATGGTTGAACAATCAAGTTTGAGTCATCTAAGAACATAGAGAAACAGGTCCTGTGTGTTTCCAATTGTACCATACTTTATTTTGCTCGTGTTTTAATGCTTTTATTATTGATGTAGAACGGATTCTGAAACATACGTATGAAGACATTTAAAAAAAAATAATAATTTAAATAAACATTTTTTTCTTAAATTTGTACTTTGCAACTTGGGCTGATTTACACTGTTGGTCACTAAATAAAGTTGCATATTTGACTGACAACAGATGACCTAAATATTAAGATACTATCACCATTTATATCACCAGTACTTACAGTTACAGGCTGTACATTTTTACAGCCTTTAGTTTACAGCTTAAGTGTGTTCAAGTGTGGAGTACCTCTTTAAATTGAGACCAGTTAAAAAGTCATTGTTGTAGGTTAAACAGCAAACAGCTCCTACTGACCTGAGTACGACCAGTCGATATCTTCGGGGAGTTTCCTCAGGCCTCGGACGAGCGGCTCTGCTGCCACAACTATAGTAGAGAGAGTAAGAGAATGCTTATTAGTGTCATTTTGCATTTCCAAAAACACACACAAATGCACAGACTGACAGGGTAAACCACAACCAGCTGCCGTGTGACTTTTCCTGCCATTCAGAGGATGCCTTTCATAGATACGTAACTTGCCTGCAAATACAGTGACTACCATCTTATTCTGAGTCATCAGTTTGATTTTAATTGGACAGTTTGGGGCATTCTATCAGCTGCTGCTACACATACAGTGACTTCCCTCTACAGTCACACGGCACCTAAGCAGTTTTTTCTAAGCTGGAAAATAATTTGTGTGCAACACACTCAGGTTTCTGGGTTGTGGCAGAAGCTGAGCACCAGCCCTTGGTCACACATGCACTGGGTACCACTTTTTCTGGTTATCACCAAACAGTAGACCACTTTACAGGGTACAGGATGGTGCATTGCCATTAACACCACTTTTCTCAGCCCACACCCAGACACAGCTATCTATTTCATGGTAGTAATTTTCACTCAGGGACAGTAGAGGATACAATGATGTATGAAGTCACAGTTGGAGGATTCAGTGTAGTGTGAGTCTAGAGTGCTACCAATTCTCCTACATTCGCTAATAGCTTTATGTCCCTCTCTAGCCGTCTTGTCTTGCTACATGACATGTAAGGACACTGGACATAAACACACAGACGCACAACTCCCTCTTCCTTTCCTTTCACTTCCTTTATATTCATGCCTCTCTCTCGTCTGCTCTTTCTCCTCCTGCTTGACAATCCTCTCCGTGATGGTCAGCAGATTACCAGATAATCCATTGTATCTGTATAATAAAACATACACCCGGTGCATTTTCCATGGCAGGAATGAACACTGCGCTAACCAGTATATTTTCTAATAATCTGCAGCAGATGGATAATGTTGCTGGTGGGAAAGTTGCACATCCAAAAATCCCAACATTAACACTCCAACGCTGCCAAGATTTCGTTCCCATTAAGGTGACACATACTAAAAACATGTGTTTTATGACTCGAACATTATTATTGTTAAGTGGTTTGCAGACAGAAATGTAGCCTATGCATGGGTATTGACAGTGACACCTAAAACACAACCAGATGGCATATTTTATGTCTTCAAAAACTCACACAGAGAAGCACTTAGAGAACACAAACAATCTGATAAAGCCTGTTGCTGAGCTACCCTCTATATAGTGAGGAGGAGGAGGAGGATGAGGAGGATGAGGAGGAGGAGGAGGAGGAGGGAGCCGGGCTCACATTCTAATAGAGATTACAATATCAAAACTATCTGGTACACAAACAACATGAATACATCAGAAGTAAGAGGAATAAAACAATACATCCACCTCTTTCTTGATCTTTCACTGTGCACAGAAAAACCAAAAACCTCTCCTCCAAGAAGATGAAAGCTCTGTGTAGAGTCTGATTTAGGTCATGGGCAACCACCACCATATCTACTACATTAGGTCTGTCCATGTGGCACAGATGAACGCAGTATAATCCTATTGTTTACAGCAGCCAGATGAAAAACTCTGGCTAAATTACTGCACATGCGTGACACCGTGTGACCGTGAAGACGTGAAGACATGCAATGCAGTGCATCTTCTGTGACAACAAAACCCTTCTGTATCATCTGTAAAATCTTCTGCATCAATGAATATTCAACAAAACCCTGATACCGAAGCAGCCACAGGGGGATTTATTGTGGTACTTCACAGTTGTTTAACTCACTTTTGCTTCTTTCCCACAGAGACTGCGTGCTTAAAGTAAAAAATATTTTCTTTCTTTTCTGCTTTTGGAGGTTACAGGGAGCTCTCTGCTAAGGGATGAAGAGCTAAAAACAGACTACCTACAGATCAAAAAAGGTCTTTAAAAGTCTGAGCGGTGACTCATTTCTTAGGCCCTGAAACAAATTATAATTACATGTAATCACAGAATTTTTGTGATGCTTCTTCACTGCAAGATGAAGTTTATTCTTGACCTTGCGAATAAGTTAATAGTCCTTAAAATAAAATAAATTGTGGAAAATGAAATGAATTGGAATGTGTAAGAAATGCAAATGAGAAATGATAAGACAGTGTCGGGCACATGATGATGAGCTCTATACTGTGCCATGCTGTACTGACGGGAATGACAAATACTAGACCAATATATTCAAAAATTAAGACAATTACGGCCTGACCTGATTGACATGGTCACATGCAGCTTGCTTGTCTGTGTATATAAGTAGGTGGTGAAAAGAGGAACAAAGAAGAAAGACGGAAGAAAGAGTGAAGAGAGAGGGAATTGTAATAGGGGACAAAAACAGACTTAAATCAATGGTACGTCTCTTATAACGCCAATAACTTCAGGAGTTTATTTAAAGCCTTCTTTCTCAGTGTAATACGTGCATGAGACTACGCTGTCATTCAGACTGCCGTCTATAAATTCTGTGTATTTGATGAATATATTCATGTCAGCACAAAGGAGGAAAGACTGAGGAGAGAAATGAATGAAAGCAAGCAAAAGGGGAAAGAGTGAAGAATGGAGTTGACTGTGGGGTTGTAGCGTCAATAATGGCTTCATTAACATCACACTGTGAGGGATTTTAATCTAATTTGCCTTTGGCATAGCACCGCAACACACACACACACAAACGCACACAAATATACCCAAAGGATCACTTGCTGTTTCAATGTGATTTTTGAGAGCTTATTACTGAACAGAATTTCCATTTGAAAAGGCAATGTATTTGAAATATTTCTTTGACCTAAAATAGGGAAACCGTACAATTGAAATTGAGCTATAATTTAATTTACGCATTAGAAATGCATAATCAGATAGTGGACATGCTTAAAAAATGCATTTGAAACATCCTCAAAAATATAAAAGACACTTTGAAATACACAGTAAAGTATTAAAGTAAATGTATTTTCTTCCCATGTGGTCACTGTGGCCACACCGGACTTGACCTGATGAGTACACATTTATAAAAGTGAAGTAACAGGTCAGTCAGCGGATGCATCCTGATGTGACTACTGAGTAAAGTTCCTTTGAAACATTTAAGTGAAGCTGCACTCACAGGAACGAGCTGGCCAAGTCAATTTCCCTGCAGTGATGGATAACACCTCTCCGCCAACAACTATGTCTGAGCAGCCTGATTCAATGAAGTGACACAAAGGCTTTCGGATGGGGGGGGGGATACAAACCATATTCATGTTTTTAATATTCATCGTTCACTGACCTGCTCAAACTGAGGACAATACTAGGACAAAGCTCTTATTCTTATATAATCTTGAGCTCCTCATAACATTGGTAAACGGTTCAAGAGTCAGAGGTCAGCAAGGCCTGGAATACCGTAATTCTGCAACTGCTGTTATGTAACAGAGAAACAAACCATCAAAAGTATAGCTGCCAGGGTTCCAGCGTGGCTTAGGGCTTAAGATGCCAACCATGGAGCACAAACGCCCCGGGATGTTGCATCTCTCTCTACAGTCTGTAATAAAGGCATAAAAATGACCCAGAATGCACCTGATGCCTGTGCACAGCATCATGACTCTGAAAGGTTAACTAAATAGGTAATAAATAGCTTAATGAATTAAAATATGGACCAAAAATATGTTTCAATTTGGATTAAACAGAGTTTTGATTATCCACCTGGGTGTGTTATTGGGATTTTATAAATCTAATTTTTGTAAAGGGTTAGGGTTAGGGTTAAATGTTGGTAACCTCACAACCTCAGCAGACAAAGTTGTGCGCACCCCCTGCAACCTCTGGCGTCCCCCAGGTTGGGAACCACTGCTTTAGACAACTGACGATAACGCATGGTTCTCGGAGATATAAAATGGCAACAGCCTACTAAAGTAGTGGTGAGCCAGTAGTACTATAAGCTACAGAGACACAGAGACAGAGAGACACGGGAACTGTCAGTCATTGGAGGCAGCGGAGGAATAAGGAGATGAGACAGGGCTGCACAGGTAAACAGCCAGGAGCAAAGAGACACCAGTGCTCAGCTTTAAGAGCACAGCAGATAGGGATGGGACTTCATTGCTGCGGGCTGGCCATGCATGAAGCTCACAGCTGAATCACTGTATTCTTCCACCCATCTGCACTCTATCTGCTTTATCCGATTTCCCAGGAGGCTCCAGAGACCTGACATTAAAGGTCTAGGGGACTGCTGTGGCAACGAGACATTTCTATGGATGGTGTTTTATTAATATAGGAAAGGTCAACAGACATGCATCGTTCTGCTTCATCGTCACGCATTTATACACCTTCATCCTCAACACCTGAACCAAGCGAAAACTGATGGAGTAAAGACTAGTTTCCAGTTATAAATGTGTGGCAAACGTTGGCTTCAGCCCAATTTGAACTATTCCCTGTGTACTGGCATGAGTGAGTATGACTCGACGGCTGTCAGTGTGAGGCAGAATAACGAAGCAAAATGAAAAGCCAAATGAGGATGTGTGACAGTCAGACACATGATACTCTGACTACAAGCTCCACTCATACTTAAGTGTCACTGAGGGTAATTTACCAAAAGAGCACCACTCATAAACATGAAATATGGCCAAAACATGTTGAGGCAATGCAGAAGTGAAGATCATTAGCTCTCACTTGTCAATCAGGTGGCTGTTAAAATTCCTATCACAGCAAAGGACTTTGGGTCTGATCTTATAAGCATGTTTGTTAAATTATGTAGTGGAGAGTTCAAGTGCTTGACTGACAAAAAGCAAACAGACACCCAAGCAGCACTCCATGCAGTTTGTTTTGTGACAGACACAGACATTTTAAATGACACTACAATATTGTTGCTGATAATGGGATTAATGCAAGTTACGTTTTTTTTATTTAACCAAATGGAAAGCACAGCATTTTGGAAATTAAGTCCTCTATTTGCATTTCCAATAATTTACATCTCAATAATCTGAACAGCTGTCTGTATGGTTTTTGAAGAAATAACAATAATAATAATAATAATAATAATAATAACAATAACAATAACAACAACAACAATAA